AGATGAACGTGGCTTCTAGGCAGTGATATTCAATTTTGGGATGTTTGGTGTTTTCCTGCAAATAGACAAGATTATATTGATATAAATGTTAACATTTTAACACATTTTTGTGCACCGCACATCCAATAATTCCACTGTTCATCCACTTTTCATAGCTCTGGTACAGTAGTTCCCAAACTTTTATATACTAACTGGGTTGATGCACCTCCATTTCACACACATATATAGCCTACTTTTACTTATTAATTAAAATGTCAACTTTTGATTTAAAATTTTCAAAGGAAACTTTAATTTACACACTTTATATTGTGTGGAAAATTGTGTGTTAGCCTCTGAGCATAAATTCTTAAGTTATATTTCGGGCAGATTATGATAACAATTTAAATCTTCTCTCCTACCACTGATGATGCAATGTGCCTTAAGAAACTTAACCCTGGTCAAACTTAATGTTGCAGTTTAGATTTCCCCCCCCCAAAAAAATTACTAATATATAGTATAGTAAACATTTCATCTTTTAGAAATAATAACAAATACATCCAGGTTTGAAAGATGTACATCTACCTGCTGGTATTTCTCTTTCTGTTCCAACCATATACAGGTTGTTGTCAAATTAAGGACTGTTGTTTTCCCGCGTTTAATCATGATTAATTAGGGGTTATTTGCGATCAAGATTAATCGTGATAAATTAAAGAGATGTTAAATCATGCGACTGAACATATGTGACCACATATAGGAATAAAAAAAAATTGTGTAGTAAATTCTGGATCTGAAATCAGATAAAGACAGGGGCAAACAACAGCAAAATTAAAGAAAAAAAGTAATAAATAGTAAAAGCAAACACGTGAACAGACCCAGTAAAGGGTAAGGATAAATTACTGACTGAAGTGATCAAATGAAACGCAGTATAATCGTGTGAGAGTAAGAATGGAAATTAAGGAGACTTGTGTTGGTCTATATAGGATTGAAATAGTGTGTGACATCTTGTGGGCAAAATGAGAATAGCAGGCCTAGGGGCGGAACGCGGTGAAAGGAATTTAAACGGTGTTATTTTCAATAAATAACAACAACGTATTTGTTCTAGTATTTTTTCAGAGTTATACATTTACAAAGGTGACTAGATACGAAATAAAGCTTGGTGGTTTTGTGAGTGATACTAGTGATTTTTAATTAATTAATTAATTATTTTTTCATTTTTAAAAATCAAAGATAGCGTTTTTTACATATTCGTGCGAGAATCCGAGGCAGTAATGCACCACTGCACAAAACAACAACTCTTAAAATAGCTGAAGAAGTAAACTTGGAAAAACAACATATCTATTTTGCCCTGCAAACGGTATGTAAGGCATCTATTTCGATTGTGCCATTTACAGAAGCCTGAAACTAATTTAATGCGTTGTATTTAATTATTTTAATCACAACAGCTTTTATTTGTGTATGGCTAGTGGATTTGAGCTTAAATAGTGCCTAACCAGATAGACATTTATGCCTAAAAGACATTGCTGGGGGCTAAAATGTCTGATAGTTGCTGTCGACGTCACGCTGCTGTCTTTTGACTCACGTTGACGATTTCGCCGTCAGAGTTAGAGGAAACCGGACAGCGTGGTTTACCGTCATTGTTTAGCATTAAGATTTAACTGACAGCGCTTCACTCTCAGTCAGTATAACTAGTTAAAAAATAATAAAATGTCAGGACAGTCGTCGTTGTTACTGCGTAAACAACTAGCAGGTAAGTTAGAACACGAATTGTTACTGATACAAAAGTTTTACCGTAAAGTCCTCCATGTCGTACGTGTTTTTCAAATACATGGTACGTGTTATTTGACTCTTTATGGGGTTAGTCTACATTATTGTAAGTACCAAAGTCATGTGGAACTATTTGAAAATACACGTGTTTGGAAAGCGTGTCAACCAGCTGCGTCCGTATAATTAGCTGTTGTGCAACAACTTCTGGAGGCATTTAAAAATATGACCACATTGTTTATGTTTGTACACTTTTCTCTCCTTTAACTCGATACAAGTCCTACTGTACAGTATGTCTGCTTTTTTTTGTTAAAGCTTTAACTTATGTCAATAAAAAGATTATTAATCCGACTAAATGTCAAAAGGTGGCAAGACAAACTTAAAAAAATATGTCAAAATACCGAGCTGTTTCTACATATCCTCGATCAAAGCTCAAGCGGTTGAATTTTTTTTTTCACTTTCACTTGTAGTAATGCCAGCCTTTTTTTATATATGTGATACTTTTGACATTTTAAAACAATTTCTTCTTCTTTTTTAACCGGCCAAATTAACATGATGGTCCTCAGTTAATTGATTGATAGTCACAAATAACCAAAGTGGGATCGTTTTCTTCTGCATGACATTTTGTCGTAAATCGCCCCAGAGTAATGGTCTGACAGTATAAGGTAACACTGAAGAACAATGGGAAGAGAGGTTATGTGTAATGCATTGTAATAATGGGGCAAATAACTTACACTAAACATATTTATGTGGTATTTATACTGAATATTTATGGTATATTGGAACGTAAAGTGATTCAATCGAATTCAATCAGGGGTCCCCAATCCCTGGTACATGAACCGTTTTCATTTACTTTCATTATTTAAAGATAGCTTGGCAATTTTCAAAATAATGTCTTTTATACAATACTAACAGAATTAAGTATAAAAAAAGTTTTATTTTGAAATTTTAATGAGTAAAGTGAAAGCTAGCTATAAAAAAAGGGCTAGGAACAAATACATAAATAAATAAATAAAATTTAATTCTCTCAATGTAATCTTGACACTGACTTTTTCCAAAATGGCTACCTGACATGAATGGAAGGAAGGTGTGGAGACCAGACATGTAGTATATATGGTCAGGGCATTACATTTTATGCATATGCAAACAAAAAACAACTTGCACATTACTTAACGTCTGCAACGTGTGCTAACTTTCAGAGCTCAACAAGAACCCAGTGGAAGGCTTCTCTGCTGGTCTTGTCGATGACGATGACATATATCAGTGGGAGGTGGTTGTCATGGGACCTCAGGACACATTGTTGTAAGAACAGTTGACATAAAAATACTTAAATGACATGTTCATCATCTGTTCAAATCACAGAATAGTTGTTGTTGAAACTTTTTTTCATCCACTCTCAGTGAAGGAGGAGTGTTTAAAGCCAGTTTAACTTTTCCCCGGGACTATCCTTTGAGGCCTCCTAAGATGAAGTTTGTCACAGAAATCTGGCATCCAAATGGTGAGAGTAAAACTGCTCCTGGTCACTGATCACAATCACATGTACACTTTCCTTAAGGGTCTTTTCGTGAATCTAAAACTGAAACAATTTTCTCCATAGGAATCAATATAAAATGGAATAATCCATTCCTGGACCCCAGATGATTACTTAGTTAAACTTTTTAACAGTATTTTATGTACAGGTGCATACAAGAAACCAATGAAAATAATTAGATCTAACAAAAAAAAGATGCCGAGGAGTTGTGATTGCTCAATGTTGCTTCGTTTTCTCACTTATTATTGTCTCCGAAATTCTTTTCACTTTTCCACTTCTTCTAATGTCTGAGATCTTTTCTTGGTGATCACAGTCACTCCTTTGACAACCTTAGATTATTTTATTGCTTCCTTGTTCTTAATGATGGTACAAATCAACATCATCATCTCTAAGCCATACTGTAAAGACAGATCTGAAACATGAACGCCATTCTCATGCTTTCGTATAATCTTACTTCACTTCTATTGTTGTTAGCAGGCACAGTTCATAAAATTGTCATATAAACCGTGTCCATAATTATTTATTTATATTAAATAATCCTTGTATTGGCTAATGCAAAAACAACCTCACCCACTTTATGAAACTGTGTCTCACCTGTGATGAGTTGGTAGTGTGTCAGTGGTATTAATTTAAATTTTCCTTCCTTAGTGGCAAAAAATGGTGATGTCTGTATCTCCATTCTTCATGAACCTGGAGAAGACAAATATGGCTATGAGAAGCCGGAGGAGCGCTGGCTGCCAATCCATACAGTGGAGACCATAATGATCAGTGTGATATCCATGTTGGCGGACCCCAACGGAGACTCACCTGCCAATGTAGATGCAGCAGTAAGTTCTAAGACCAGGGGTCTCAAACACAAATGAGTGTCATTGGAGGGCCACATCACTGAAAAAAAAAAAACAACAGATTTTAATAAGAATGTCGTTTTTGTTTAATATGAATACTGTGTTACATTGCAAAGAGCTGATACAAATGTCGTCTATCATTCTTTAATGAGTCAGTAAAGCATTTAAAAAAAATACATCCCTGGCATAGATACTAGCTTTCCAGTGATGTATGCACAAGCATTCCTCAGGGTCCTGGTTCAAAAGTTCCAGCTGTATGAATATAGCTGTGAGAAGACTATTTTTCATTATCACTATTCATCAGACGTCCTTTTCAGTTCAGCCTTTTTCTCAATTTATTCCAAAAATGATCCAAACAGACAGGCGGAGCTACAGGGCTTCCTGCAGGGCCAATCAACTGCTGCCAAAGCCAAGCTGACTTTTTGTTGTTTGAAAGGCTTTTGATCACAGGGTTTGACAGAGAGCAAAAGAAAACTGGCTTCAGTGAACTCAGAAATGTTCTGAACAAAATGTGGGTCAAAAAGAAAGGAGAGGGGTTAAAAGTCTGCACTTCAGGTTAAAGTTTTGTTTGTGCTTTGTCCAACAGAAAGAATGGAGAGAAGACCGTAATGGAGTTTTCAAGAAGAAAGTGGCCCGATGTGTGCGGAGAAGTCAGGAAATGGCATTTGATTAAGACGTTGGCTCGGCTTTCGGTGCGGTAAGTCTATAAAATCCAATCAGCATCCAGAGAGATGTGCTGTGAGGTGGGAGACTGACTCGCTCTTTTGTTTTAGGTTGGAAAAGTGGAGAACTTTGACAGTCAGCTCGGGGATCATGGGACACAATTTACACATTTAAAAAAAAAAACCTCAAAGGAAGAGAAAGTTCGTAACCCATAAATGCTCAGGTAGCATGTGCAGCGTTTTGATCCGAGTTGTCACACGTTGTTTTGTTTTTTTTTCTAGTATTGTTGTTATTTAAGTTTAGTTGGAGTGACAAAAGGTGCCATTTAAGAGGGCAACACCTTTTCACATATTATTATGAAAATGAGTTTCTATGAAGACACTTTAGAGTAAGGAATTGTTCATTCTGAAAAACAAAAATACATAAATTCCACCACAGTTACCTTGGAATGAACCTATTTATTAAACCTGAGCCTATTTTAATGTGTGTTTAATCTGTCCTGTCCTTTCCTTTTATTTTCAACCTGTCGCACTGAGCCAAATCCGTCTTTGTTTAACAATCTATGATGCGTTCAAGGTGTTGTGATACTGTGATACTGTAACAGGTCAAGATGGAGACACTGGCTTTTCTCACTGCCTTAACTCCAAGGAAGTAGTGCAGGCAGAAGTATAGTATCATTGAAACTAACCAAAGAACACACAAACAAATACTTATTTTTGTAATGCACACAACATTTTTACTTTTGTAAATAAAAATGCTGTCCTGGCTTTTGCATGGGAACGTAAGATCTTTGTCCAAAGGAGAGAGGACAGCAACCATGGATTGAGTTCTTACCTGTTATTTGCAGACCTAGTATTGTTATTGTAGATGAGGAGCTGGGAATGTGTGCGGTTTGATATTTGATTTTTCATTGTCATAATAAAGCCCAAGGTGGAAAATAATGATAATTTGTATTAGTGTTTTTTCTAACGGTCTCTCTCACTGGGGTGTGCAGTCTGTTAGTATAATATGAATTTCTAAGCAGTTTTTGTAAATTGTGTTGGCTCCTCTCTCAGCTGTGAAGTTAACTGACAATCAAATACCAAAGTACACATTATGCCAAAATTAAAAAAACAAAACAGATGTAGAATTGTTGATCTAGTCTGCAACTTTTAACTCTGTTCTTTTTTTTTCTCTTTTTGCCAGCATAGCAATTGTGCAGTGTTGGGAGGACTGTATTATTACTTCATTACAAAAATGCAAGGTGTTCACAATTTATACATTCAGTGACCTGAAGTCAACATTGTTTGCTCTATCTCAAAATTGCAAAACATATGTTCAGTTATGAGGCAACTTCCATTGTAGTTTAGCTGTTAGTTGGATGGAAGTAAGTGTGAATGTGTATGTATATTTGTATATATATGTATACTACTACCGCTACTTCCTTGTTACACTTGTCTGCTGTATCACAGTATAATGTATAAATTCAATCTATTACAGGGAGCCATTTCCAAGAGGGTAAAGAACCAGATTTGGCTCAGGTGCTTTGGGTTGCAGACCACTGCCATACCCAGAGAATGTGTTATTAAAATAGAAACGCTTAGACAAAAGCTAGTAAAAATGTAATTCGGGTTTTTAAAAGTTAAGGTTGTGATGGTATGGGGTGATGCTGGGCCATCTTTTGAGTGATTTCGTACAGACTTGTAAAAAATTGTCCAAATAATCTTCTTTGTTTTACTACCTTGAGTTTAAGGTGGTGTGTTCATTTGCAGCAGAGCAGCCCCCGGTGTGTGTTTTATCTTTCTGTCTATAACAGGAAGTCACAGTTCCTCTGTGTAGAAATGAGTGCAAAATAGATCATTTCTGGAATTAATACAACTGGAAAGATGAAATTTACCACTGAAACCTAAGGATGAGAAAGGAAGTGTTTGGATTAGGGAAGTTGAGCATTTGGGCTTACATTTTGGATCGCACGGGCCATAGATGTTCTTTTTTTTATATCCATTTTGAACTACAAATCAAAGATGTCTTTTTACCTCGTTCCATTTCTCTGGATTTAAGGGAACAAATGACTAGGCTGAGAGAGAGTTCAAATAGAACTGTTATTGTGTAACAACTAGAAGATTTTATGAAACAATGATGTTGATTTCACATTTGTGGTTTTTGTATTTTAGAGGACAGAGTTTTGTTTAGAAAACTTTCAGTACTGTACCCAAGGAAGACGGCAGTGTGGTCTATATTATGATAAACCACTGTTTTGAATGGTAGTTATCAAGGACATGTCTGGTACTTGGTGAACAATTAGAAATTATTTAAGATAATCTTGATATAAAAGTAAATGTTATTAACTAACTTTATAGTTAGTGTATATGAGTTAATTCAATGAATTCCAACAAGAACTCCCCAGGTCTTTATTGAATTAAACACCAGCTCAATATGACCTACATCCAGACAACATCTTTGAACTAAGAGTATAAAATCATTTATTTAGCAACACAAAAGCAAACCTTTCTCACCCCGCCCTGTCCCTCCCCACTCCCTCCCCTCCCCGAAATCATCCATGTTGCATGTGTACAACAGAAATTGGTCCTGGGTTGTGTTCACTGTCCAGGTGCTGACAGACTTTTGTTCATGAACTGCTTCTTGACGAAGCAAACCCACCACTGGAAGGGGGGAGAAAAAAGTATGATTATGCAAAGCCTCTGAAGTTGGTACACTCATGTTGACAAACCAGGTTGGTTACGTGAACTCACTTTGCTGGGTTTATCTGTCTGTGGATCAAACACACGGTCACATAGCCTTAAACCGGTCTCCTGGCGGATCTGCTGGAGATACGCCCTCATGGTCTCTGAACAGGTTAGAGAGCTGCTGCTTTAATAACCAACAAGTCATCACCTACTCTTTACCTAGAACACAGGTGTAAAACTCAAGGCCTGCAGGCCACGCCTTACCCGTGGTGCTCCACAAGAGCTTAACGCCCATGTGGTTGTTTTAAATAAATAAACATGAATAATACTTCTTACCTTCCTCCTGCTTGTTCGCAGGCTTAACGTACATAGCGTTAAGAGGGAAGCCAGGTTCTCCAGGGATAGGGAAGTTAGTGATTCCCAGAGTGTACATCTCCTTCTCCCCCTGACTCCGGGAGCTGCACTGTGTGGAGTCAGAGCAGAGCAGGATGTCACTAACTGAAGTTAAAGTGTATAAAGATGATTAACAATCCAACACACACGTTACCTTCTGAAGCTTTTTTAGGCACTCTGAAATGTAGAGCGTGACGTAGATCAATGTCCTATCTGCCTCATTCTAACGAAGAAAAGTAAAATCATAAATAATTAATGTTGATTTGTAAACATCCAGTCAGGATGGTGTGGTAAGGAAAGTGCATAGTACGACAGTACAGTAATGCTGAAGAAGAGTGGATATGAACAAGCTGAGGCACGTGTAGTACATAGCTACTTCTTGACAGGGTAAAAAAAATGTTAGAAAAAGTGAGACTTGTGTAGTAGCTGAGCTTAAAAGTAATAATACAAATCTGGGCAATAAGAATGTACAAATCTGGGTAATTAGCTTACCTTGATTTCATAGTTCTTAAAGAAAACATTGGCTTTAAAGTAGTAGATTGCCTCATCAATGATGTCTGAATCAATGCCTGTAAAGAAACATAATAAACAAATGATTAATTAGAAATTTATGTAGGACAACATGTATTATATTTTATCCTTATAACATGTTCTTGTAGGGATATTATCTTCTTAAACTTACTTTAAATTTTATGAAGATGCCTGGTCGTTTTTTGTGCTTCACTCTTTTGTAAAATTGTTCTAGTTCAGATGGTTAAACACCATATATAGATTTTACTGTATCACTAAATATGTTATTATAGGCTGATCAAAATGACTGCTGTACATTCTGTCCCCTGATGCGATTTAGTTTTTAAATCAACAACATTACACAATGCGACCAACACTAGTAATGGCCAGACTGCTTCTGTTTTCTATGGCATTAGAGAATGTGATGAGCTTTAAATACATCTCAAAGAAATCTTTGAAGAAACACAATAACATCAGGTTAAAAAAAACAATGATACTGTATTAAAATAATACTAGAGATCTTCTTTCAATGTAATCTATGTACAAAATAGTGACTTGCAAAAACCAAAACATTATGTGCTTTCCCTGCATCGACGCTGCTTCATCCACACTGGCTTCTCGACGCATGTTGAACCATTTGAACTTTAACACCGCGATCCAACGTGTACACTCTCAAAAGCTGAACACTTGGTGTTTACAGAAATGTATAATAAAGACAGTAATTTAGCACGCACTCTCCAGACCATATATGGAAGTAAATCAGACAGACATAATGTACAAGGAACTGAGCAACGTGTCACAACAACGAAACTATGCACAGGACTGGGCTCAATAATATGAAATGCCGTTTTTTTTTTTAGGTAAAAAGTGTTTCATCACAGTTTGAGTGTGGGTAGTACAAACACACACTACAACGACTGCATGAATAAATTTGACAATAAATAATTTGACATTTGACACATTTCCTTGACATAATTTTGCCCACTAGCTTTTCGTTGCCCTGGTGTGACTTAAAAAGAGAATCATCGCAGCCTTACCGTCTCCTCTGGCCGGTCCCTTAAACTGAGTTTTGAGGGAAAGCAGAGCCATGTTCCCCACCAGCCGGGTGTCGGAGGCCATCAGGTTTGAGTGATACGCCTTTGTATAGACAGAGAGAAAAGTTACTTAATAGCGAAGGCTATTTAATTGGGACAATTCTGACTGATGGCAGCTGCAATGGGTTATTAATAAACTAGTGCGCGTCTAGTGAGTATACACAATATACAGTATATAGACAGAAAACCAAGGCTGCTTTGTTGTTGAATAACAGCTGTCATTTGACATTTAATTGAGACACTTTCTGTGTTTTTACACTGTGAACAAACGCTAGCCAGGATATGCTAACAAGACCCGACTGCAGGGTTGTCGCTCATTCGCAGGCCTCGGTGCTTAACACAATCCAATAGTCGACATACCCTCTGAAAGACACCATATAATAATTGCTTAATATCTATTTTTACTCACCGGCATGTTGAGCGACAAAAAAAATCAGTCCAACTGCTCAGCGAAGGAAAAATACCAGCACCTTCCACAGGACGCTACTTCCGCCTCGTCACACCCTTCAGTTTTTACAGGAAGTGGTTACGTGTCATGTAGCTGAACGACCACAAGATGGCAATCATACAAAATCTTACTTTTACAACGACAGAAAAAAGTATTCTGCTTAATTAATTAATTAATAATTAATTTCCTTTCTTAAATTAACCAACTGTTAATCACAAATCACGTTGGTGAAAAAAAACTTATTGTCTTACAAAACTAGTAAACACTATTTGAGACAGGACTGTAAATAAAAGTTGAATTTGTGGGATTACATTTCTAAATTTGAATTAATTATCACTATGTCTAGGCTAAAAGCTTCAATAAAGAATTCAACTCCACTCTTATGTATACTGCCGCACTCTGTATTTTGTCAATGTGTATTTATTTATCGAGGAGCAAACTGCTAACTTCAAACTCAATATGCATCGTTTGTATGTGAACTGTTTTGAGTAGTTAAAGACAGATTTGAACAATAATTCTGTATTACACAGCTCATCCACATCACAGCTAAAATCACAGCACCTCCTACCTGTGAGAACGATAGGTTAGATTTGTAAACATTAGGCAGAAAATGTTGCTCACCTTCAATGGGAAATATAAAACTATTTATTAACAACTATAACAAATCTATATCACACTTTTAAAACCATAATGGTTCACAAAAACAAAATGTTTTTCAATCAAGCAAGACACAGTTCATGTTTTTTCACCATGTTTTTCCTCATTTTTTTGTCCAGTCTTTTTTCCTTTTTGTTCTTATTCTTTTCTCTTGCTTGTATATCTTCAACTGGTGACACCGTCTTGGAAAATCTGATCGTAATTCAGGTTTGACGGCTCTTCATCAACTTCCTGTAAAAATTGAAAGTATAATTAGAAGCTGGGTTAAAGAAAGAAAAAAAAATCACTCCATTGTTATTAAGTTTAAATTCTTGACCTTTGGCTCCTTGACCTCCAGATCCTCTCCATACTGTATTGAGAAGTCAATATGCTGTAGGACTATGTTCATTCCTTCCTCATCTGTGCGGTCAAAGGGCAAGAATCTAACCATACTGTAATCATCGATCTGGACAAGGAAATAAAAAAAAACATGATCTTAATTTGGATTTTAAACTTTGTGCTTCATTGAATGAAGAACTTCACACTAACCAGCCCACAGATAGCTTGAGTCAGCTTCTTGAATTTCTTGCTTCTGATAGAGTCAGAGCTATCTTCCATCATACAGTACATATCTGGATCCAGATACCTGGTAAGGAAGAAAACAACATATTTGATACTGCTTTAATATCAAAATATCTACTTTCTGCATTGGTATTATTTATTATTGTACCCATATGACTCTTACTTTTCAATTTCCTTTTTGTCTTGTGGACTAAGCAGGTCCATTTTTGTCATTATATTTATTTGTGGAATTTCCAGCGACACCATGGCACTCAGGGCAGCCATGACACCTGAGATGAACTGCACAGGAAACAGGAAACATTTTGAAGCCTCTTCATGTAAGATAATTACTTAAGTTTTAGGATATACGTATTACCTTAAACGACTCCACCATGAACTGGGAATCCACCAGAAAAACCCCGCACACACGAAACTCCCATTGCTGGAGCTGCTCCACCAGTTGCCTCATTACAGGTAAGTGTGTATAAAGTTCAATCTGACCTGTAAACAACGCATTATTTTTTACACCCACCGTTGTTTTTCTCACAAAAACTCTCTGTTATGATGGCACTGACTCTAATGTGGCCCATCTATTACATTTACCTGGGCAGTCAAACAATATATAGTCATCCTCTTCATGACCTAAGTTTTCTTCTAACCAGTCAAAGTTATTGGCAAGGTACTCCATGCAGAAGACCAGGCCTCCGTTAGGACCGAATCTGAGAGAATCATCCTCCATCACATCATCCACCTGGATGAGCTCACGGATGTCTATGGAAAACAAAAACAAATATTTGACCTTTAATTCTGTCAAAGATCATATCTTTGTACAAAAGATAAAATCACTAGAGCTTCAGTAATGTAATACTAAATGCTCAACGCATAAATGTAATGATTTGAGCAACAGGCTGACTTTTGTCTCAATGTAATTACAGTTTGATGTAAATTACGAAATTCATACAAAAGAGATGCATTCTGAGGTTATGCTAACCGATTAGTGGATGAAACGTATCATCCACTAATAACGAATTGTTTGCAGTGTATTGTTTGGGATATTTAGGAAGTTTTGTAAACATGTTTTTCACCTGCCATGACAGGGTAGTTGAAGTGCTCAGCTGCTGGATCCAGGTTAACCACCCGAACTGTCCGGTTGAGAGCCTGCACGTGTTGGACTATGGTCGAACAGTAGGTACTCTAAGACGACAAGCAACAGCCATATTCGATGAACGAAAAAAATAGAACACAGTCACATAAGCTGACTGTGGGTAGAAGTGCGTAGTTACTACAACATGATTTCGGTCACATCATTTAGCCGGTTAGCATAACAAATCATGTAACGTGTCCAGTTAACGTACCTTCCCGCTGCCCGCAGGTCCCATCACAAGCTGTGCGTAGCGAGGCATTTTGCCTCAGAAAAATATTTTGGTCAAATTATCAATCCTTTTTGCGTCGATAAGCTTGTTGTACTAAATTGATGCTACGTTATTACTACTTCGGGTAACACTTCGCCCGGCTCTATAACACATCTCGCATACCACTGACACCCTATGGTCAAAGAGGAGAACTACAATAATGGTATGCGCTGGACGAAGTCGATCGAAACACATTCCTACGCCCCTTGACACTCCTGTCAAAACGTCACATTACTCATGTCTTATTGTAAAATTATTTAGCCAACTGTATTTAAAGGGTGGTGTTCGAGCTTAAATATAATATTGTGTTTTTTTACGACGTATTTTTTACATCTGAACAAACGCTGATGATAAGACAGTGAAAGCAGGGGGCAGCATCGTATTTTTAACTGTTTTGTCTGGCGGAAATGTTGATGTGGAAGAAGAAGAAGCGTCACCATAACAAATCATCCCAAGGAAGTGAATCATAAGTTAATATGGCAACGTTAACTCTGAAGTACTTCCCATGAACGTAACGGTCAGCCTCGATTAAACAGAGAATCTGTTGAAGCTCACCTCCTTAAAAGAAGATGTCATCGATGAGCCTGTGTACTTCTCTCATGGATTGCAGTCAGGTGGGCTGAGGTCGATGCTGCTGTTTGACAGTGAAACGCAGGAGCTACATTTTGGGCGTCGGTGGATAATATAGACCGTAGCTCTGACTTCGATGTTTGATGGCTTTGGGGCTTGGTTGGGTGAATTTAACAAAACATTTTTTTTAGGCTTTGAAAAAATCTGATTGCTATCATTAGTCAAGCCTTACGTCAATTATTCATGATAACTTGGTGGCTATGAGTAACTGTTAACGAAATACTAGCGATGTTTTGGAATTTTCACAGCTTCTAGATCGCAGATGTAGAGGTCTTTAGTGACAAATAATTATTTCTGGTGCAAGATATTTAATATAAGTATTCAGTATATGCTGACTGTGGAGTTTGTATATTCACATGGTGCAGAAATACAACAAATGCAAGTCTAAGAGAGTAAAATCACGTCCTTAAAAATGGCCCGCGTATATAAAGAACAGCTCTACTCGTCAATGAGAGACCGCGACTAATTGATGATTAATTGCTTCCCCACTAATTTAAATTCTCAGAATATTTTAGTTATTTATTTAGTTATTGTGAACGACTTTGTATAAAATAGGACACATTACCCAAACGCTAAGGTTGCTTTTATTTCTCAATGTGCAAAAAAGCTGAATATGTTTTGTTCATAAACAAACTGAGATATTAAATTTAAGACCTTTCCTGGTTTTCACCAAATTTTCATTAGTTAAGAACTAATTAACCATTTAAACGGTCACGGTTTGTGGACTATGCATTTCAGGTAGAGTAAAGACACAATAAAGCCATATTAATGGCCAAACTCTAAAAATCTTGTCAAATTTTAGACAAAAACATTGTCTAAATATGAAAAAAGACAACATTTTGAGTTTAGCTTTTTATTCATTTAAAAGTCTGTTTAATGAAATTTAAGCCTCTATTCGTTTTCCAGGACTGTAGAATATGAGTGTGTGTGATGGAGGACAACCAATGTGGGGGCGTGGACTACCTGATCCAAGATGAGGACACTTTAATCGAAGGAGTCAGCAACCAGGTTTTATTTGTTGTTGTGCTGAGCATCGCCTTCCTTGTTGGCCTTCTGACTCTGCTCTGCAGGTAGAAAGATCAGTGTTGGTGTCTTTGTACTTATTATTATTATTGTTATAATTAATGTTTTAGCTGAAAAAAATGAATGCAAATCATCTGTCCTTTGTAGACAAGAGCAGCAATACATTCACCCTGAAAATCAGGAGCATGTTCGAGCTGTTCGACAACAGCTTCAAACAGAGCAGGTGTGTAGGCAAAAAAAGTAGCATTTCTCCTGACGTGTGTTTTGATTTTTTCTGTGTGTTTAACACAATTTCTTCATTTTGTCAGGATGAAAATTCTCAAACGGAGACAAGACAGCAGTATTACACGGACATGTCTTGTCCCGTCTGTTTACAGCAGGCTGTTCTGCCTGTAGAAACCAACTGTGGACACCTCTTCTGTGGTGAGATGACCTCACAGATCAGATTTGGTTCCATTTTATATTTAAGAAGCAAGTATTGTTAAAAATGTGCTGTGTGTTTTTTCTTTGCAGGCACATGTATTATAGCATACTGGAGATATGGCACCTGGCTCGGTGCTATCAGCTGTCCCATCTGCAGACAAATAGTAAGGCTTTATGAGTAAATCTTTGATTTAGGACAGTTGTGCAAAATTTAGTCAAAGTAAAAAAGTTTTTATTCTTAATTTTTTATTTACCTCATGTACTTGTGCTGCTTTGGCAGTGGTTCCCAACCTTTTTTGGCTTGTGACCCCCTTTATGACACATATAATCACACACATCACACATTTCTGAGATACATTGTAGTAGCTGTTACTTGTGTAATCAGGCAGCTGTCAATTAAGATACTCTAGCTCACATATTTGTACATGCTGCATGTTATTATGTGGAAGTGGAAGAATGCATTTGTTTAATATTGCGTGTGGTGTTTGTAATCAAAATTTTAAAAAGATTAATTATTTGAAAAACAATTTTTTTCTGTAATTTTTAAACAATTACTAGATATGTTCCTAGACAACCACATGGAGTTTTGCAAACAACCCCAAGGTTGACCAATGTTGCCGTATAGTAATGTCAAAGTATGTGGTTTCATCAGATGTTTTTTTCCCTCCTTTTCCAGGTAACGCTGCTC